TCTGAATCATTAATCCAGACATCAGTTTTGTCAACGGAAGTCACTTTTTTGATATACCTGATTAAAATACTCCGGAAAACAACGAGCGCCTTCAAAATTAGGTAGATTTATGTAATAAAAATATCTATAAAAAAGTTACTCGCAAAATATTTTTTTAATTTTCTAGCTGGTTTAATCATAAAACTGTACTGTGGTTCCCCCCAAACTCAACCTTATCAATATTATTCTACTAGAAATCGAAATGAGAATATAAATTTTAAAAACAAAAAACGATTTTAATATGGCTGACAATCGGATACGTGTTAAGAATGGCGGATTTCTGTGTCCGACTTAATATGAACTACCAATATGCCAATTCCGGCCGGGTCTCCAACATTAAGGATGATTCACGGTACACCGGACCGTACCCGAGCCGGGCACGTTTCGTGAAGTAGACACCGAGCCACGTCCGGTCCTTCTGTTTATGCTACACCGAGTTGATAACGGGGCTCGTATTAGTTCTGAGTATATTATAAAACACAGCCCCATAGACACACGAAGATTTAATACGAACAATGCCAAAGTTCTCGCAAGTGGAATTGGTGCCAATTACAGTTGATGAAAAAAGAACAACACCTGCTCAAAGGGCAAGATGAAGGACCTATCTTTTTCATTACATCCTTTCATTGTCCAGTTTTATGCATTCCCTCTCATTAAATACTGCTGTAAGATTCACTACCTACTACAGACATGATAAAAAGTGTACTTTGTTTATACCATAACTGCAGATTGCAGTCAGGGGCACCAGGAAAAGTACATTCATGCTTTCCGCAACGTGGCGGGAACGGAGCGGATCCGAGAAAAAAATGTACGCCGACATTTCTGGGACGGGGCACGGACGAGTTCCGGCGAAGCTCGGATCGTGCTCGGCCTGGCATGAATGTATATGTGTAAAGAACACTTGACAATGTTTGGCCGTGTCTTCACCGACGCACGGCTCGGACCCGTTACGGTGTAGCGTGAAGCATCCTTTAGTCGTCTCACACGACCGAAGTCATCAAACCGGACGACCGGCAATCGTATTATGACGTATATAATTATTATAATTCCAACGTACGCCACGTAACCTCACTTTGCGTATCAGTGATTTGTGGATTTGTGCAACTATATTTTAGTTTTTGTTTTCTCCTTAAAAAAATGGGCAGCCACTTTTTTAAGCCTAACCTCACATGTGGGAGGAGGATGGGGTCTGCTGGTTTCCTAAGCTAAAAAATAAAATTAAGATGCACCAGTGTAATGCAGCATCTCTTCCGGGTAAAAATCATTTATGGGTGGAGGCAAGACGTCACTACAACTATTATTATTTTGCAAAAGCCTCGACCTCTTTCTGTAAAATGTAGATGAATGTCTAAATGCCTTTTTAGTGTTTTTTTAGGCATAAGTTTACAAAATTTTACAAAAACTTTTTATTAGGTTATGTTCATGATGTTCATTAGGTCGCAAATGCTACTTAATGGGTTGTATTTACGGACGTAAATAGAGATACGTAAATTAGGTTATAAATATGAACATAAAATACAACAAAATATAATTGGACGTTACTTTAGAGATTATCAGTGAGACGTATCCTATTCGGACAACGGGTAGACGTCGGGCTAGTTCAAGTATATATACGTCGTGCAATCCAACGTGGGAACGACGTTGGGAAATTAATAAAAATGGTACGTTGTTATTTTGTACGTCGACAGATCGTTGGATTTACCGACTGAGATCCAACGACGTCGCTTTTAATAGGAAAGCGACGTCACAGGTCGTATCACCAGCACCCGACCTAAATTTGCACAAAATCTGACGTCGCTTCAGGTCAGATTTAGTTCGAAGTCAGATAGATGCTACTTGGGATTTGAGTTTCACCAAAATCAAGAAATAGTACGGGGAGGGTGTAAACTACCCTTACATAAATTTTAATAGAAATATTTTCCGACGACCGATTTTTCCACCGACGCGCGACGATCGATTTTTTTTCCTAAAATAATCCTTATAGTATACAGGGTGGTGACAATTTCGATGCTCAACATTAGCATCTCAGAAACTACGAGAGATACGAATTCGGTTATATGGGACAAAAGTTGTGTAATTAGAAGTTTGAAAAACACCTATGAAGAAAACCCCGGTATCTTGATTAGTTTCGGATTTATGTCAAAAAATTGAAAATAATCCGTTTATTTTAAATGACAATATCTTCAGAACTGTTGTATCTATATGGTGGTATCCTCTGGTGGTATCTAATCAAATTCACTAAAAAAATAGATTTTTTCAAAATTTGCCGAAGATCAAGTCTGCCTTGGAAATGCAATTGGCACTTTACCTGTTAGCAAGTTAATTTTGTTTTATTCTGTTAAGTGTCAAATTTGGATGCACAAAAATTGTGTAGAAGAGTTCAATACAGGTCAATACAGAACCGAAAATTTTATTGTCAAGAATGCCAGCGCAGACGTTCAAAGAATATCTTATTTGTGGTTGTGGTCTGGTTTCTCTAATTAAATGAGGATTTTTTTTTGCATAATAATGTGAATTTTTTTCTGTTAAATGTACCAGAATTCGTAAATAAAGATTCATCCGTCCATAATATTTTTGTAGAAAAAAGGGGACTTTCTTGAACACTTTCCCGAACCCATTTGCAAAATTGTAATCTTCTCTCGTGATCACCAGCATGTAAAAAATGTAAATTTGGTACACATTTAAATTTAAAGTTGTGATATTTATGCTTTTTGATAATTTTCCTTATTTGATTATTATACAACACTCGCGACTTATTTTACTATATTATTATATTATATAGATTATTTTTTGCTTTATCTAATAGTATAAAAATTCAAAATGGCGGCCATAAGAAAACAAAACTTGACTGTCACGGCCTTAAATTTTTACCCCATTGCGCCTAAAGAAGTTTCACTTTAAAAAAATGCGTTTCGGAAGCTGAATTACAAAAAATTATTCTTGTAATATCAAGATACGTAGGCGCATAAAATCTAGTATGCGTTAATGATCTAGTTCGCGGAAATATGGAATTTTATGTTAAAGTTCGTTTTGTTTTTCATTGACTGCCCTCTAACGGACAAACGAAGCACTTTTGTATAGAGGTACATTGTGTGTAATTAACTTATATTGAAGCAAAAATACGCAGTTCTATGTCCACGGAATAATAGAATTCCCTGTATATTTTGTAGGTCTGCTTCTTATTTTTTAAAATTTGATACACTCTAACATATTTCTCACATTAGCATTCTTTAGTATAGAGGTAGTGTCCAATGAACTTATTTTCATTCCAAAAATATGTAGTAGTTCTATGTCCACGGTATATTGGGAGACCCTGTATAATACACACACCGGAAAGGTCTAGGGATATTACAATTTTATCCAGCCATCGTCAGTAATTTTATTATTTGCATTTCTGATATAATAAAATTAAAATAAAAAAATAGTTTACAGGACGTATTGGAAATAAAAATGCGAAATTTACCGAATTTTTCAAATTTACCTTGATTTTTATTGAACTCAAAAAAATACACACATTTTTTTTTATTCTAAACTGTGAATTAAAAAAAAGATAAAACCATTTTTACTTAATAAAGGATATGGCCTCCTCTACTGTTCATTACAGCCCTACATCGTCTCTCCATGCTCCTGATCAGGTTGTCGATCTCTTCTTGAGGTACAGCCTGCCACGCTGCATTCACGGCCCGAACCAGATCCCTACGAGTTTCATGAGGCATACCTATTCTCAAAATTCTTCTTTGGACCGCGTCCCATACGTGCTCGATGGAGTTGAGGTCAGGAGATTGTGCCGGCCAGGGTAAGATGTTTAATTGATGAGCATTGATAAACACATTTACCACTCTGGCTGTATGAGGCCGTGCATTGTCATGCATGAGAATGAAGTTTCTCCCAAAATCATTGGCATATGGTAACACGACAGGCTCTAGAATTAAATCACGATATGTGGTTCCTGTTAGAAACCTTTCAAGAAAAACGAGATCGGTTTTTCGGCCTAACTGGACTCCTCCCCAGACCATAACTGTTCCACCTTGATAAGGTTGTACTTCCTGAACATGATCCAACCGAATAAGATTTCCCGGTTCTCTCCATACCCTAAGCCTTCTCGAATCCGGATGAATTCCAAAGCGTGACTCATCCGTGAAGAGAACATTGGCCCATTGTTCATTCGACCACTGAACATGATCTTGAGCCCACAAATATCGTACCTCTCGATTTCCTCTCGTTAAGGTTGAGCTCTCCAGGGGCGCCTGCTTCTTAAGTTGACCTCTCTTAATCTATTGCGAACAGTGTCAGGACTAACGGTTACATTATGTATTTCCTGGAGAATTAAACTAAGCTCTGGTGCTGTAAGAGTCGGTCGGCGTCGAGCATTTAATTGTAAAAAATTATCTTGCTGAGGGGTAGTAATGCGATGTCGCCCTGTGTGCCTTTCAGCAACATCACCACTTTCACGGTAGCGTGCACTTAACCGCGATATTACACTTTGGGTTGTATTTAATGCTCTAGCTACGTCGATTTGGCGCATTCCAGCTTCGAGCATACCCATGGCCCTTAGCATTTCGTCTCTGTTAAGATGTCTACGCTCCATAATGTTTAATACTAAACAGAGTTATTTGAATGAATTCTGGCCAGTTATCATAAAAACATAACCAGTACAGGTTAAATTCGAACAATTGATGCTAGGAGCTTTTTATACATTTGACAAAAAATGCACAAACACTTCTGCAAATATCCCAAATTTAGAAATAACTAGTGTGACTACTTCGTTTCAATCGAAGTAGAAAGAATCGGCCTACAAATATGTGGTTGTTTATTCAAAACATTTATTTTTAACTTTAATAAAATGATATCCCTAGATTTTTCCGGTGTGTGTAGATACTTCTTAATTAATGTCAATTTCGCTACACTGGTTTAGTATGACGTTAAATGAGTCAATGCTGTTAAATCTAAATATTATATACCTAAATGCATTTCCTGACAAATCTAAACCCTTTAATTGAGGTAAATTCCATAGAGGCGATATGAGTGTATTTGATAGTGAGTTATTCTTGAGCCTCAACTCTCTCAAAGCCGGCATAGCTACAAATGCTTCTCTGTCGATGAGGTGGATGTTATTATAATCTAAATTAAGATGTTCTAGTGTTTGATGACCTCTAAGGGAGCCAAATGGAATTGCTTCGAGGTTATTGTAACTCATATCTAGAAATACCAATCTAAAAAAAAATAATTTTATTAGAGGGTATCGTATGTAGATTATAATATACCGGGTGTTTTTCAAAAGTGGCTCACACCTATAACTTTTTTATTTTTAATAAAATGAAATTTGGTATGTTAGTATACAGGGTGGCGCCTCTCATACGACGCGGAGGCTCCAAGGAGAACGACAGTTTATATTGAAGTGAAATTTTGTGAGCATATGTAGGCATTTCCTAAAAATACAGAGAGTTCTACAGGATGTCCCCAAAAAAAGTTACACATCAAAGTTTGTTTTCTTGTAATGGAACACCCTGTATATTCACCACGAAGAACAATGTTAAAATTTCCATAAAAGCTTGGAAATTGGAATTTATCCGGTATAGCCTAATAAGTAGTTAAAATAACTATTGTACTTTAAATCAAATTAAAACCTGGTTCAAAAAGTTATACAGGGTGAGACAAAATTAATATTGAACATTAGTCACATTTAAAAGCAAATTTCTCTTATTTTAAATTAACCCAGTATAACATTAATTCAATTAGAAAATGTGAAATATGTCAAAAACGTTACATTTTAGTCATATACTTCTTTAATTAAACTCACCTTTATTTTTTTCCTAGAATCCGAAAATCAATTAATATAGAGGGTGTTCCATTGCAAAAAACCAACTTTGATGCGTAACTTTTTTTGGGGACACCCTGTAGAACTCTATATATTTTTACAAAATGCTTTCAATTAACCTACATACGCTCTCAAAATTTCATTTCGATAAAAACTCCCGCGTCGTATGAGAGGTGCCACCCTGTATTATGACATAAAGCGGGATTGGTTGATGTATTCAATTAGTTTCTGTCACTTCCTGTTTCACCGGAAATGACTACAACTATTGATTTTTAAACGGTATACTCGGTATTTTTTTACTTTATTTGATAGAAAATGACTAAATGCAGAGCAAGATGAGACTTATACATTTCTATAAATTCTGTCAAGACTTCTTGGCGGCGCATGGGGTGATAAATATCGGCTATGCCAAAAATCTAAATACCAACTAATTAAGAAAAATATGTGCTACCAAAACTAAACTTTAAGAAAAATTAATGAATTGATTTAACATTTTCTTGTTTTTTATCCGCCCTGTATGATATAGGGTGGCCCATTAGTGCGAGGAAGTTGAATATCGTCATTGTTGTCAAATATTAATATAGATGTTGCATGGTTTAAAAAGGTGCATGTCCCAAAATATTTTGTTAAATACAGGGTATCCCAAAAAAAGTAACGATAAAGTTTTTTTTAACCCTGCAGACGGGGCGCCCTTGTGTAGCTCATGAGCCGGGGCGCCGGGTCTCTGAGACCCATCGTCAAATATCGCGTTTTTTGGAAAAAAAATTAAAACACTATATTTTAATTGAAAAAATATACCTTAGTTTATTCAAATATTATAATAGGAACATGATTTAAATATACATAGACAAATTTTATCTTGTTCTAAAATTTGTTGTCAAAAAATATACCATTTTCTAAAAACTAGGAAACAACTGGTAAATAGGTAAACAAAATAAGATTTTCTAGTGAATCATTATAAAAATATTATAGAACAATAGTTTTTATTGATTTATGGCAATTTCTGAGCACTCAGGACACCAAGCTTCCATGTGAGAGAGACAAACAATTTTTTTACATTTTTTGCAAAAATATTTGGTTTTTGAATCCTTTTTGCAAAAAAGCATCTTCTTCTGGTACCTGGTTGGATTTCTTCATTTTTCATATTTTCTTGTGTTCCAGCGACTTCTTGTCTCCTTTCTTTCACCGACCTTGGCACATTTGTTTCATAGTGCGGGCGTTCCTCTTCTCTCTCTCTCGCATAATTTTTCGCTAATCCAGAAATATAGTGACTTGTGTTCTCCCCTATAATGTTGAGCATTTCAGTAGTAAAAAATAACGACCAACATTCATCGGGTGTTTTGGCGTTTTTCCCACAGTTTCTGACGCCTGGTAATCGCACAATAATATTTTCCCTTCTCGTTCTTACTGTTTTGTTTGGGCAATGTTTATGCCACGGCTTTGTGCCATCTTTTCCAATGAAAGTTGGAATTCTTGCTAATTTTGCAAGGGGTACATCGTCGTCACTGCTATCAGAACACTCTTGTTCGGATTCGCTATCAGTGTTTCGAGCTTCAACATGATTTTCCTGAAACACCAATTCCTCTTCTTCATCATACGGCTCTTCCTTTGATGCAACTTCCTCCCATAAACGACAAAGTTTTTCTTGCTTTTCTTCATAATAATTAGACATTGCTGCTAAATAAAACAAATCCTATTTATAAAATTTATACAATATAAGTGATATTTACCCTAACTTACCAAAGAAAAATATATCCAGCCAGTTGTAGAAAAAATACACTGAGCCGGGGCGCCGGGTCTCACAGACCAAAATCAAAGTAATTCAGAAACTAAAATACTTGCTCATTCACGAATTACTGTGCACGTACTGAGTCTAAGCATAAACAGATAGATAGATCGCCAGGCAATTACGACGATTTTCCGAAAATTGCGGATAGGTTTTCGGAGCGCCGGGTCTCAGAGACTAGGCGCCCCGGCCGGAAGGTTAAATTGCAACCCACACTTTTCTGTACAGAATTTGATTCAAAATAAAATTCTGCTATCTATAGAAATAGCATGGCAACACCGCATATAGCTTTAAATAAACGTAATATCTATATTATGTTTATTTAAAGCTATATGCGGTGTTGCCATGCTATTTCTTAGTTACTACCTAAACTTTGGTTAAAAACAGCATATCTGAAAAGTGGTAAAAACGCGAGCTATTATTATTATTATGATATACAGGGTCCGGCAATAGCGCGTCAGGTTTAAAAATGGGTTAAAATATTTTAACTTCTATAGGGTGGCTCAAAAAAGTGTGAGTGGATCGGGATAATTTTTTTTAAATGGAACACTCTGTATATTATTGCATTTTTGGCTTCCTTTCAGACTACTTTACATAATCCTATGATATGAGTAAATATATTTCGATAGTTTCAGAGATATTAATAAATAAATAAGATATATATTTTTTTCAGCCTTTCTTAAAAAAATATTAAAATTACAAGAACTGTCCTAAAATCAAAACTAAATTAGGTATTTAGTTTAGATCGTCTGTACTTACTTTGTTATAAATGTGGTAATTGTAAATCATACAGGATGTTTAAAATACTACACCAAATTTTCTTAAATATAAAATAATTTTTCTTTTTTTTAATAGAACCTCGTATATAATTTTTTTAATAGTTGGAGAATTAAGAAATAAACATTTTTTGTATTTACAGTATTTCAAAATTTTTAATGGTTTCGCAGATATTTGTGGTTTTATATTTCATATGGCATTTTCCATACCAAATTTTTATCAAAGTCACCCAATAATTTTTCTCTCGTATTTTAACGTTGAGAGAGCCATATGAAATAATACTGCGTGAATCTGCAAAACCATTAAAAATTTTGAAATACTTGAAATACAAAAATGTTCATTTTTTAATTCTTCAACTATTAAAAAAATAATATACAGGGCTTTCCATTAAAAAAAAAGACTAAGAAAAAATATTTTATATACAGGGTGTTTCAAAACAAATGCGAAAAACTTCAGGGGGTGATTCGTTGTTCAAAATAAAGGGTAGTTTGCTTCATAAACGTTGGGTCAAAAGTCAACCATTAGGGAGATATCGCGGTACAAAGATGGCAGAAAAATAATGTTTTAATTTTTTATCTTGAAAACGAAAAGAGATAGACTAATGAAATTTTATGGAAGCATTACTGTTATGAAAACACACTTTCTGGTAATTTTCTCACTTTTTTAAAATGAGTGGAAGGGGTTGAAATAAACTACCCCTATTATACTTGTTAACGAAATTTAAATTTTAAAAATCTTATCAAACACATGCAAAAAAAATAATTTGGATAGTTTAGTTTGTTTAGAAACTTTTTTATCTCTTGTGTTTTTTTGATAAAACTCACCGATTTGAAATTAAAAAATAAAATGTAAAGGATTACCCCATGTCAGGACAAAAAACATTTTTATTTTTTAATATGTACTTTTTTTATTATTTTGTACTTTCATGAATTAAAATACAGAATTAAAAATTGTCTCGGTAAATAATTTTTAAGAGGTTATCGTTCAGAAGAAAATGTAACGATATTATTACGAAATAAAACTGTTTGACAGCAGCCTACTAGATTCTTTATCCAAAAATGTTTTTTGTCCTGACATGTAATGCTTTACATTTTATTTTTTAATTTCAAATCGGTGAGTTTTACTAAAAAAACACAAGAGATAAAAAAGTGTCTAAACAAACTAAACTATCCAATTTTTTTTTGCATGTGTTTGGTAAGATTTTTCTTTAAATTTCGTTAACTAGAATGATAAGGGTAGTTTATTTCAACCCCTTCCACACATTTTAAAAAAGTGAAAAAATTACCAAAAAGTGTGTTTTCATAACAGTAATGCTTCCATAAAATTTCATTAGTCTATCTCTTTTCGTTTTCAAGATAAAAAATAAACACATTATTTTTCCGCCATCTTTGTACCGCGATATCTCCGTAATGGTTGACTTTTGACCCAACGTTTATGAAGTAAACTACCCTTTATTTTGAACAAGGAATCAGCCCCTGAAGTTTTTCGCATTTGATTTGAAACACCCTGTATGAACTATGCATCATTTATATTATAATTTTTTTTCATGTCTTTGTTAACAACGACGAAATTGGACCTTCTCGCACTAATGAGCCACAAGGTATAAGAAAATTAAAAAAAAAATACATCAATTTCTAAAAGTATTTTCTCGAATAATTGAAAAAGTATGAATATTACAAATATACCTACCGAGGCAAAGCATCCAATATAATTCTTAAGTCGGCAACATGGCTAATCTTGTTATCGACTAGTAATAATTCCTCCAATTTATTTCCAGAGTCTGGTAGAAAACTGTCTGGATGTATTCTTCGTAAAACATTTCCACTCAAATTTAAATTTCGTAACCTGGGTACTCTATCGAATGCACCTTGCTGCAATTCTCTTATTCGATTATTTGACAAATGCAGTGATGTTAACATTGGAAGGTCTACGAACGCCCCATCTTCTAGTACATCTAAAACAGTATACAGGATGCTACAAATTCAGGGTACGAGCATTGACATCCCGGTAACAGTAATAAATACGAACATGGATAAATTGGGGCAAAGTTGCGTTTTGGGATGTTCACCAAGATGCCAAAAAAATCAAAAAAGTTTTAAAAACTTCAAGGATTGCTGAGTTTTTTGGAAAAAACGGATTTTTTGAAAGTCAATTTTATTTTTTCCTGTCGTTACTTTTTAGAAAATCAAAAAATTAATTACACATTCTCATAGCCACTTTATTAGGGCTATCTGACAGTATTTTTATATTTTCAAATTTGCTAATAATTTGTGACAAACAGAGGCCAACTTATTTTTTTTTAAATAGGGACCTGCATTTTTTATTTTAGGTTTTAAAAGAACTCGGTCTCTTGAGTACAGGGTGGGTCAAATTCGACGCTTTTAAATGGAAACATCCTTTTCTATAGGAAATAGACAAAAACTAATATCGGTGTCTGGAGCTCAATTTTTGCCAAAAACATGATGGTGAAAACCGCATATCGATATCTGTTACCGTTTCGGAGTTACGGGGTGTTTTTCAAAAATATGCATTTTTAACAAATCGCTGCAAACGATATATAGCAAAACTTTTTTGCTATGGAAAATTTTGTATTTTTATGAAAACATTTCCAAAGCACTTTTTTACGTAGAATTTAATGGTTTAAGTATAATTTTTTTAAAATTAAGAATTTACGAATTATAAACAGAAAATTTTATTTTTTATATGGGACACCCTGTATATTTTTAATTTATTGAAAATAATTTAAAATTAGCTTTCCAAAAATATAACTAATAAAAAAATTCGCCCGCTTTAAATTAGTAGGCTTTGAACGGCATCGGCTGTAATGCAAAAAAATTCTAGCTGTGAGCATTAATTAAATCGAAAATAATATTTGCAATGAGAGATGCAGAATTTTATAACAATTTAAAATATATTTAACCAACATCAACACACTTAAACTATATCTAATAACAATAAAAATAAATAGCAAACCAAGATATGAGATTTTGCTACAGGTGTTCGACATATCAACCGTCTTCTGTTATGGACAGACGGGGCCGTTTTTGAACATTTCTCGCGGAATTCATTAACTCAGAATGGGTGAAAGATACCCACTCATAACAGCTAAGTATTTCTAATTCTTGTCTAGATTATACGGAGGAATAAGGAACCTTTATTCTTCCGCAAACATATCCATAGGATTAGATCCATGGGCACTAAGTCAGGCGGCCTCGACGGCCAACGGCTGGGATCTTGGTTAGCTATTCAATTATTGTTGAAAATGGCTTCAGCGTTCTGAGGCGGTGCGTCGCGTCGTCTTTCTGGAAAAATATGTTTTCGAGTTCCATTAAGGGCATATCATCAATAAGGGGTCCAAAGCCTACTAGTTAAAAGTGGCGAACTTTTAAAAATTCTGTATTTCGAAGGGGATTATAACAAAATATCAAGTGTGCTATATTTTTGGAAAGGTAATTTTAAATTCTTTTCAGTTAATTAAAAATATAGAGGGTGTCCCAAATAAAAAATAATTTTTTCTGTTGATAACTGTTAAATTATTAATTTTAAAAAAATTATACTTAAACCATTAAATTCTACGTAAAAAGGTGCTTTGGAAATATTTTCATAGAAATACAAAATTTTCCATAGCAAAAAAGTTACAGCGATTTGTTAAAAATGCACATTTTTAAAAAACACCCCGTAACTCCGAAACGGTAACAGATATTGATGTGCGGTTTTCACCATCATGTTTTTGATGAAAATTGAGCTCCAGACACCGATATTAGTTTTCGTCTATCTCCTATAGAAAAGGGTGTTTCCATTTAAAAGCGTCGAATTTGACCCACCCTGTACAATGATATGCCTCACTTAATTTTTTTTTCGGACATTTGAACACAATTTATTTACAGACACAAATACTTAAATAGTTTTGTTGTTGTTAAGGTACCCAAAACAAAAAAAAGGTATAAAATGTGACATATCATTGTACTCCGGAGACCGAGTTCTTTTAAAACCTGAAATAAAAAATGCAGATCCGTATTTAAAAAAATTAAGTTGCTGGTTCTTTAAAGATTAACTTTAAAGAACCAGAACTAGGTAACGTGTTGTGTTGTAACAAGTGACCAGTAGCGTAGCGTAGGCCCCGCAGCACCCGCAACGGCGGGGGGGCCTCGTGATTTTGGGGGCCCCGCAGGGCCTGCAGTTTTATTTACTAAATACATATATCGTCGGCTTTATGACGAAAAGGCGTATCTCGATTTTTGCTACTTTTCAGGAGAGCAATTTAAAGAAAATCACTTACTTTATTTGGCCAATAAATGTAAAGTCTTTAATTTTTTAATAGTGTTTTTGTATTAACACTTAAACGGAGACATTGAGGAAACGTTCTGAAGATAAATTGTGCGTAAATTCTAATAAATAATTTCTTTTTAGTTGTTTAATAGAGATAGGCCCTTTTGTTATAATAATAATAATAAATTTATTTCCGAACGAATAGTATACATACGTCCATAAATTTTAAAATGATGGTAAAGTGTTCTTAATAAGGAAAAAAATACAATATTCAGATTATGGAATACATACAAGAAAATACAATACATACCATACAGAAAAAAATCTGAAAATCACCAAAAAATCAGAAACAAATATTTTTAAAACTTTTATTCGCGTTGGATTAGATCAACTGAAAACAAAGACAATTTTCATTCCAGAAGCAAAGACAATAATCAATTAAAATACACTTATCTAGCTTATTTTAATAATATTGTCTTTTATACAAAAATATTTTTTTTTAACTGATATATTTTTAGTAATTATTCAGTTAATTGAGGGCATTAATACAAGGCATTTAAAGTCACGGTCCATTTAATAAAAACCAAACTAAACAAAAACAAAACATGTTTCTTCATTTGTGCCTTTTTGATACAAATCAACAGTTTCTGTTTTCCCTGTTCAATGATAACAAATTCGACTTCCATTCTACGTGTTTAGGCAGGATGATGATAGCTCATTCTAACTATGGTTTTTGGCAAAAAAACAGACTCAAAATCACACTGTAAAAGAGGGCTGCTGCCATGATAGAAGTTTTATTTTGTCCCAAGCCACCATCAGAAAATAATTAGGTAGCATTTTCATAACTTAAAACAAAAGGACCTATCTCAAATTCCATCTTTCTTGTAGTATAACAATTGTTATAACAATTGATATAACAAAGAGCCCTATCTCAACATACGTCTCTTTGTCATAACGAAGAATTGTAGTATTTGAGATGGGGCAAATTTTTAAACGAATATAAAATGAAAAAGGTACAATATTGAGATGCGCAAATTCGCTATGTTAAAATATGACCCATTGGGCATGTCATGACGTTGATATCTCAAAATCGCCAAAATTCGAGATACGCCTTTTCGTCATAAAGCCGACGATATATTATATGTGAACAGCGTCCCCTACAATTTACAAAAATAAAAGGGAAAAAATGAAAAATATTAAAAAGCTGTTAAACCCGTATATTTGTTTACGTCTCACTGTGGTCAATTTTGTCAAATTAGCCGGAAAAAAATATTAGTGAAAATTACTTAACTTTGATTAATAACTATATCCGATTTTATATGTTAGGTATTATAAAATTACATAATTAATTAATAAGAACAGGTCGTATACAGGGTGTATAATAATTAAAAACTTGGAAAAGTTTCGTTATTTTTTATTTTAAATAGATTTTGGTCGCGATCATTTGCATTTGTTAGATATTTAAAAATTATCATATTCTAAGAATAATACTATGGATCTTACAGGTTTTGCTAACAGTTGCTTTTAAAAAGTCAACAACCTCCAAGCGTTTAATCTGGGCAATACGTCCTAAAAATGGCCTGGACTTAACAGACGGGCTAGGACGGTAAATTTGTAGGTTTGGTAAAGTTGTCTAATGGTTTAACTATCAACTTAACTTTATTTAAAACTGAAACCTCATAAGACTTGTTTCTGCTAGTTCATTAAAAAAATGTATATTCTAATAATTTAAAAAAAAATCTAACCATATCAAAATTATTTACTCATATTTAATACTCAACAGAAGAACATTAATGTCAAAAAACTTACCACCAACAATTGCTCTTTCCATTTTAGATAGTATTAATGACATATAACTTTTTGCACGGAATACCCAAATTAAAAACTTGTGCAAATAACAAGATTATTTACTTTAGTTTGTCAACTATACTACATTTTCAATCAAAATAACAGTAAATTCGCAACGACCTTTGACATATTTGTTAATGAAATGTTCTTAGCAACTATTTCAAAGCCTACTTATGCAGTTTTTGACGCCCGCTTAGCCTCATCAGATTTTTTAATATTTTCCTGTTAATTTTTAAAAATTGACCACAGTGCGTCTGTTGTTTACGGTGTCTTAGCTGGTCTTAGCGCCTCTCCTATTCAACATATTCATAGCAGCGCTTTCCATTACAGTGAACACAAAACTGCAGGAAAGAGGAATGGACACGACGATGCAGATACGACGGCAGTCTGTCCAACATAAAAGACTCAAGAGGGCAAAAACACGTACAAAATTCATCACCACAGAACTTCAATACGCTGATGCTGATGACTGCGCTCTAGTTGCAAAAACGTTACAGCAACTACAAGAAATTTTGAACACATATAACTGGGCATAATCTCCCGAAAGATCACAACAATGCCAAAAAAATCGAAGAGCGGAATTCAATTACCTCGGCAGTTTGATTTCGGAAAAGGCCACTATCGACTCTGAAATTCAGCACAGGATTAGCAGCGCCTCAAGAAAATTCTGGAAATTAAAAGACAGGATTTTCTACAATCATGACTTGAGCACAAAAACAAAACTCGCAATGTATCGAGCAATAATAATGTTATACAGGGTGAGTCTTAAACAAGTGCAAATATTTTCAGGGCTGGTAGATCTCGATAAAAGAAACATATTTTCTCTTTACCATTTTTCAAATAAGTCCAAAATAACCGAGTTATTTAAGTTTGAAAATTTAAAAAAAATTGATTTTTTTTGAAAAAATTTTGAGAGTCACCGGATTTTTGCTGTATTTGCATCCCTTTTAATGCCATAACCATAGAGAAAAGCTGTAACTATGGTAATATCAGAGATTAAGAAATTATACCGTGGAAAAATTTGCGGTTTTCGAAAAATATATAGGGAAATTTAAAAGAAAATGCACGATTTTCAACATCTTTTTTTTGCGAAAAAAAAACTCATAGACGAGTTCCTGGGGTCGAAATATACCACCCCTAAAAATATTTGCACTTATTTAATACTCACCCTGTATATAAGCGAAACCTGGGTGCCGTACCGCCGATACATGAACGCATTAAACAAGTTGTAACAGAGATACCTTAGACAACTCTTAAAAATCAAATGGTTCCACCATGTTTCAAATGTATCGGTCCTTGAAAAAGATAGCTGCGAGAGCGTTGCAGTCATGATTACAAAATCCCGCTTAAGATGGGCTGGTCACGTATGCAGAATGCAAGAAAACCACCTACCAAAATCTCTTTTTAGCGGTGAGCTTGTAGACGGTAAGAGGAAACCGGGTGGACAACTCAAAAGATATAAACATATTTTCCACGAAAACTTAAGGGGAATAAACAAGTAAATGAAGTGGGAAAAAGCAGCGTACAATAGAACGCAATGGAGAAAAATTGTGAACTCAGTTAACAGCGACAACCAAAAAGTAAAGATGCAACAAAGCAATAAGATTTTTGAATGTCTGGAGTGCGGAAGAGAGATAACATCACGTATCGGGCTTTTCAGTCACAGAAAAGCTCATGAAAAAAAACGCCTTGCGTAACTATGTTCTGATGCGTGTCAAATACTCGTCAGCAAGTATTGGCAGTATTATGTAAATTGTTTACGGTATTCTCCGTTGGTAAAAGTACGACTTTTTAATAATCATTTCTGTTAAAATATTTTAATAAATTTAAGTTCTGTATTTACCTAAATAATTTTCATCCAATCTCAGCATTTGCAATTGAGGTAGTTCTCTACAAACTCGACCTACCATACCAGCATCTGATATCCTATTGCCTATTAGTATCAGTTCATCTAATATAGGTAATCTTGTTATTGCCATGGGATGAATTAAAGTTACACCACTATGAGATATATTTACTAGCCTTAAGCTGGGCAAGTCTCGCAATAGATTTGCATCCAGACGATTCAGTTTTGGACATGGTCCAATATGAAGTTTCTCCAAGGAAGGATTGTCCTTGAAATTACTTGGAGAGATTTCCATGAGCAAAGCCGACTTAATCTGAAGATATCTGTAATTTTGGGAAATAAGGTTAATAATTAATATTGTTTTTATATTACTATTAAGTAATAAAAATAAACCTATAAATTTCTCGTATATGAATAAATAATAATCAAATTCTGATTCCCTTAAACAGCCTCTACACTATCCCCGAGATGTGTTACATTTCGCAAAACATTTCTGGAAATACTTTCAGAAGTAAACTCAAATACAAGCCCATGTTATAAAAAATAGATCCCACGTTTCCTGAAAAAGATCGAGACGCACCGTGATTGGTTATTTGCTTTTTATTGTTAATCTGGGTAAACAATAAAAAAACAAACAACCAATCATGGCGCGTCTCGACCTATTTCAGGAAACGTGGGAACTAATTTTTATAACACGGGCTTATATTTTCGTACTATTTTGTGAAATAGCACGAAACAATCAACGTTGTGGTGGCTTCAGAAAAATAAGTAAACATGGAGTATGAGAGAAGTATAGACATTTTTTATAGAGTATGAATAAATATAATTAATTTGTAATGGAGTGAATTGTAATACCACTATATTAAATAACGACATGAAAAATCAAAAACAGTGCATTTAGAAAAGAGTTACCGATGGTAGATGAAATTGGCTATTCGTCTAAAGCCGCGTCCAAGCTAAGCGAACAAAACCGTTCGCGAACATATATAATTAACACTATATACATAGCAGCAGGTCGTAAACGACGTGCGACGGCACAGCCCATCGGTTCCGAGGACTGAGGGCGGGAAAGAATGCGACAACCAGTTTACTCTATAGATCTAGGATGCGTTTAGGTAGTCGCTGTTCTTTCGAGTGCCCGGCTTAATGTGATTTGAAAAAATAAATATGGATGATAACGTGAAGATTGCGGCAGCTGCTTTTATTGTATTAGCTGATGCTTGCAAAAAAAGACAAAAAAAAGAAACTCTGTAGCAAAACAAAATTGATGCAAAGCTGAGAAAACTACAGTGCAAGCATTTTATTAAATAACTTAACCGGTAAACAGTTTAAGAACTTTTGTCGATGAAGAATCAATATTTAGCATGCGGAGGGTTACAAGGATCTTTTGGTAGATTATTTGTTATAGTGTATTTTTAAGACCTGTATTCATTTTCAGCCGATTCTACCAGGTGTTTCTCAAAAGGGGCTCACCTTTTTTACTTTTTTATTTTTTCAGATATAATACAACGAAATTTGGTTTGTTAGTATATGACATAAATCGGGATTGATTGACGTATTCAATTACCTTCGGTCGCTTCCTCTTTCACTGGAAATGACTAATACTTTGGATTTTTAGACTGTATCCTCAGTACTTTTTTACTTTATTTGATAGAAAATGACATTCTGAATAGATTCAAATGGTACGAGGCTGGCTCAGCATATCTGGAAAACGCATTTTAGTACGAATAATTTGGTACCACATACTTGGTATTTGGAGTAAAATTGTCGTTACGTTAATTTATGGCCATTTTTTTATTGAAAATGTCAAAAGTTGACATATATATCATTCTATTTAGAATGTCATTTTCTATCATATACGGTAAAAAAATACCGAGGGTACCATGTAAATCAAAAGTTGTTGTCATTTCCGGTGAAATAGGTAGTGACCGAAAATAATTGAAAACGTCGATCAATCCTGATTTATGTCCTATACTAACATACCAAATCTCGTTTTTTATCTAAAAAATTAAAAAAGTTATAGAAGTAAACCACTTTTCAGAAACACCCGGTATATTTATTTCTAAAAATGTAATGGTGAAATTTTATTTCCGGTGTCAAACTTCCTATTAAGTAGTAATTTTTTAATTCTGAATCCCATAATTCCGCTTTTTAATAACCATTTAATTTAACAAAAATGAAATTATATGGACGAAGTCTAGCTACATAGCTATTCACACTCAACCCACAATAAAATTAAAATTATAAAATATTTTCTTTGTGTAAACAAATTAGTTGTAAATGTTTTTCACGATCCCAGTTAATAACTGCGTCTCCCACTGTCGAATACTCGGTAAAAAATAAAAATCACAGATGGACGCCCGAAATTAAATGAGACCCTTCCAAGTGTCCGCCACAGTGTCCGCCGAAATGCACGCCGTTTACTCCTTTTGATGTACCGACACCCGTCGGAAAAAGAACGCGCGCGCTCTAGCATACAGGCAGACGCACGCTCTGGCGTACAAGCTAGCAGAGTTGTTAAACTACACGTAGTAATTAATAAACTACAATTATTATATGCAACAAGTAGTTTTTAAATGTCGAGTAGTAAATGTGTAGTTTATGTACTAATGTAGTTTTTTAAAATAACAGTGAAAACATAACCTAAAAACTTTGTTTGTTGATCAATTTAAGAAATAAAAAATCTATATTTTGTGAATTTGTTCCTTATTATGTAATATTTTTGATATTTAGTAATTAAAAATTAGAATTTATAGTTTATTTTGTGTTTAATAGTTACTTTGTATTTCATAGAAAATACACTTTTATTGAAAAAAAAATTGTATTTTTTTCTGATGTTGTTTAACTTATACAAATATAATAGGTATAACTTCATACTTCCATGATAAGAATTTGGCTTGATTTTTGTTTAAAATCTAAATTGTTTATGTTTTAGTATATTTTTGTAGGTAGATTTGATGTAGTTTTTGAAGATAGTTTTTAAAATTTTAAAACGTAGTTAATACAAAAAACTACGCGTCGTTTTTAGCGTAGTTTTTTGATTCATAAACTACTTAACAGCCCTGCAAGCTAGCCGTTCGGCGCTCCGCGCTCCTAATAGGCCTAGGCCAGCTATACTCGTTGGCTTTATTATTTATAAATCTACCTATCTGACAATTTTCACTTATATCTTGTTAATTATATATGTTCGCGAACGTTTTGTTCGCCTAGCTTGGACGCGGCTTAAGGTTACACAAGAATATTTAGTTTTAATCATTGTCTAACATTATTAATTACAAAATAGCAGTAAAAATCTATATTTGCAACACTTAAAATCGTAAAATTGCAAAGCAATACGCAGTGACTAACTATTCTGGCGGTCCACCTTTTATAGGTTATAATCCAGGGTGTTAAACTATTTAAAAAATCGTCTAATTATTTCTTATTTTTGAATGGATTTAATAATAACATATACAATAATTTTATATTCAAATTCATTATATTCATTATAATTAAATAATAAATATATTGTAATTATTATATTCCTGCAGATTAAGTGAAAATTTTTGTTCTGAAATATCTACTATACATATTATAAACGCGTGTTCAAATATTAATCTTGTGGAATATATATCAACATAAAACGAGATGGTAATTAACGAAATATCATCGTAACAACCAGGGCCGGCGGAAGGGAAATGCTGAGACAGGTCGAGCACCCTATCTGGCGCCCCCCCCCCCTCACATAGTTATTATAACTCTCTCTTTCTTTCAGCACTATAGGTACTTTAACTACAACTAAGCATAGTTATGCTACTTTAACAATACATTTTCACTTAAAGATACTTCAAAAATCTTCTCTTCGTTCAATTTTAGTCTGCGGTTGTCGTTTTTTCTATACCGCGAGCGTCTCGAAAGTGACTTATTCCCCTATTACTTTTTTATTTTTTTAGATAAAAAATCCGAGACTTGGTATACTAGTATATGATATAAATTAGGATTGATTGACGGTATTCAATTATTTTTGGCCACTTCTTGTTTCACCGGAAATAACTAATACTTTTGATTTTTAAATGGCACCTCGGTATATTTCTTCTTTATTCGATAGAAAATGACATTCAGAGTAGAATGACATATCATATGTCGATTTTTGACATTTTTGCTCAAAAAATATATATTATAGTTTAAATTTCAATCTAGAGTACCATGACTCAATACAAAAACACTCATTTTTAAACAAGGAGCCTTGGAAAAATAGATTTGATCGTCTAATGTTTTTCGTGTCCTGTCCTGGCCGGTTAAAAGATGCCATAAACGTATTTTTAATCATATCTTAATTTTTTCAAATGGAACAAGGGTGGCGGCTCATTAGCATATTTGGAAAAAAGAATATACCATAATTTTACGAATAATTTGGTACCACACACTTAGTATTTCGAGTCAAATTGTCTTTATGAACCGCATATCGCATGTTACAATTTCAAATAAACCATATGCAAAAATATAAAAATTGACATATGTCATAAAATAGAAATATACCGAGGGTGCCATTTAAAAATCAAAAGTTGTAGTAATTTTCGATGAAACAGTGTGACCAAAAACAATAACATACCAAATCTCGTTTTTTCCTCTGAAAAAATAAAGAAGTTGTAGGGGTGACCAACTTTTGAGAAGCATCCGGTATATCGAGTTATAAGAAATAGAATTCCAACTTCGGCAGTCTCGTTCTGGTATAAGTGATCTTTGAAAACATTAGTATTTAGTTGCAAGCAGTTGCGTTATTATTCTATAAGAATTTAATAAACTTTTCTTTTCTTTTTCACAATCAATTATTTCGTGCAGAATCAGTAGATATATCATCGGATACAGTTTTGTCGGCTTCAAAATGAGGTTCAGCTACTGTTGTAGAATGTTTAGAAGGGGAGTTAATCACCGCGACCTTATAGATCTATTGTGTGTTCCCCTTTCTTGAGTTATAACGAGTTATAACTCATCATACAGTCTCAGGGCTTTAAGAAAAGCCAGTATCTGAGACGGCTCCACAGAGGCCAGCTCTCCATCCTCGACATCAGACGTGCCAAGGTTCATGGCACGAATGGTCGTCGTCTCGGCGCACTCAGTGATAAGGTGTTCTGGTGTTTCCCCATTTTCCCCACAAAATCTGCATCGCCGTTGTTTCTCAGTTTCAGCCTACTGAGGTGTTCGTTGAGGAGACAGTGTCCTGTTAGAAACCCCGTGACAATTCGAAAATTGGTTTTACTTAAATCAAGGAAAACCTGTGATTTTTCTCGGTCATAAGTTCTAAGGAACTTTTTCGAGTTTCTTAGACCGTTGGAGGACACCC